TCAAATTTGGGTGTTCAAGACAGATGGTTTCTTCTTTTGTTACACATTATGGACTGCTTGTTGGATTCCTGCTATCTAGCATCCTGACATTGTATATACTCTTACATTTCTTCTTCTCTTTCCTCTGATTTATTCATTTGGCAAACTCATACTCAGCCTTCAAAATATAGGTCAAGTTTTCTTGAAGAGGGAACAGTCTATACCCAATTTATCTCTGTGCCCAGCAGTTGGCACAGGGGTAAATGAATGCATGCATGAGACAAAGGATTCAAGTTGATGTAGCTTAAGGGTGGCATAGAGGGTTATGTCAAATAGGAGTACAAGTTTGAATGCAAGTTATCAGACAAATCCAGTGAGGGGTGTGTTCACAAATAGAGGTTTATTTTTTCACATATCAACAAATATGAAAACTTTTCTTCGCAGCAGCTCTGGTTCCAGAACTCAGTGGAGCCATCAGTGCCTTCACCTCAACATCATCAATGTGTGATAGTTAAAGAGACGGGAGGAAGCAGAGTGGCACCCACTATTCAGTAGTCTTCTGTGGATGTCTCATTAGCCATTCCTAGCAGCAAAAGAAACTGGGAAATAGCATTTCTCACTTGGGGTATGAACAATATCTTTTTTTTTTTTTTGGTAGCAGGGAAGAATGGGGGGTGGTGTTGGTGGATATTAGCCAGATAACCAATAGTGTCCACTAGATATTTATCTCGTGTCCAAAAAATAATAGATGTGTGGTAGAACTCTGTGATATGTGTTGTGAAGACTTGTCCAAGCCTGGGAAGGCAAAGGCGCTTTGATTATTGTCTGTCATGGATGTGGAGTGGGGTATGTGGCATGCTTGGCACCTTTGGTCCAACCCATAGACGAATCTGTGTGCTGGACCATCTCTTTCCCTCCTTTTACTCACCTTCTTACTCTCTATGCTGAGAAGCAGATTCTGATGGGCTAAGATCCCCTTCCGCCTTCTGGTTGGGTTTCTTGTTGGTTTACATACACTTTGCTCACAATTTTGTCCTCTTAATATACTACCCTCAAATTATCCAGGTTAAGCATTCCATCTCTTCCCTGCAAGGCTCCAGCTGAGGTAGTCTGCAACACTTTGGGCCCTAGTGCCCAGAGAAGGTGTCAGAGTCATGGATGGCTGCATTGAGGCCAAGGGCAATATGCCACCCACATCCTACAGGATGCTCAACTTGCACCATGTCATGGATGTGCTCAGAAGTCCTTTTAAATACATTTTTATTGATCTACCCTTCAGGGGCAATGCTGAGGTTTCTAAGTACATCCAGCTGTGAGACATTCCAGATGGGAGCTTTCAGGAATCAGTAGGAGGGAACTGACATCCCTCTTGGTTCTCTCCAGACTGGATTATGAGGCCAGTGAGAGCTGTCATTTCTGAGAGCTATTGGTGGAAAGTGGCTGCACACCAGGTGACCTGGAAGGACAAGTGTACCCGCACCTGGTGAGCATAAGCCCGCACCCTCTGTCTTGTTCCTGCCTCTGCTGCCCTCCCTCCCAAAGCCTTAGTTAGGGTCTACACTCTGAAAACAGGCTCTGCAGTGTAGCATTAGATACCCTTCCCCCAACCTGTGTACTGAAGGAGGTCGGAGAGGATCTGTTCAAGGTCTTCAGAGAAGGGTTTGCTAAATTTGAATGAATATGTGAATCACCTGGGGATGGGGTCAAATTGCAATTCTGATTCAACAGTCTGGGGTGGGGACTGGAGAGTCTGCCTTTGGTGCAAGCACCCAGTGATGCTGATGCTGCTGATGCAGGGAGCACTCCTGCGGAGCTAGGATGTAGAGGTGAGCATCCAAGATGGTAGCTGGTAGCCATTTGCACATTGCTTCATTTGGTTCATGTTGCTTCATCGCATCAACCTAGCAGAACTCTTTGGGTTTCTAGTGATAGCAACCCTACTCAAAAGATTTTTAGCTTAATGAAAAAAAGAGAAATATATTAGCTTTTATAAAATTAAGAAGAGAGGGGGCTGGCTTTAGAAACGGCTTTAGAAAGGCTTCAGGGACTGAAATAATATCCTCGTTGTCACCACCACCACCACGGCCACTGTTAGCTCCTTAGTCCTCGTCGTTATCTTGTTCTCCTGTCATTGCTCTGCTGCCTCTTTTCTTGAAATTTTGCCCTCATTTTCTCTGCCCACAGCCTGACTTCTCTCTGGCAGGGCCTCTGGGCTTCTCTCTTCTGGTGACTCTAGGTTAATATCACCCTGGCCATCTGAATGGAAAAAGGAAACTTCCTCCCAGCACCTGAGGGCTTCTCATCATGCTGCACCCAGCTCTGTAAGTGGAGCCTGGGGTGCCATTAGATGCCCTGTGGGCGGGTCAGCGTGATGAACAGCCCCCCAAAATCTGAGTGGAAGGAGGGGTGAGTGAGCATTGAGGGAAGGACAGCAGTGCTGAGGCACAGGGCAGACGAAAGCAGATGTTACTTCTCTCCCCTGCTCCCCACCTCGCCAGGAACCCTGTCCATCTACTCCCCTTAAGAAGCTCTTTCCAGCTAAAAAGAAACTTCCCTGAAGAGGAAATGCAAATGGCCAACAGGCATATGAAAAAATGTTCAACATCACTTGTCATCAGGGAAATGCAAATCAAAACTACCATGAGATACCATCTTACACCAGTGAGAATGGCACATATTAAAAAAACTAGCAACAACAAATGTTGGCGAGGGTGTGGAGAAAAAGGAACTCTCCTGCACTGCTGGTGGGAGTGCAAACTGGTCCAACCACTATGGAGAGCTGTGTGGAGATTTCTGGACCTACTAAACATAGAGCTTCCATAGGATCCAGCAATTCCACTCCTAGGTATTTACCCAAAGGACACAGAAACATCAATTCCAAAGAGCACCTGCACCCCTATGTTTATAGCAGCACTGTTTACAATAGCTAAGCTTTGGAAACAGCCCAAATGCCCAAAAATAGATGACTGGATCAAGAAGATGTGGTACATATACACCATGGAATATTACTCAGCATTCAAAAAAGATAAACACATGCAATTTGCAGCAACATGGATGGCGCTGGAAGGGATCATGCTCAGCGAAATAAGCCAGAAAGAAAAAGAAAAATACCGGATGGTCTCACTCATAGCAGGAATCTAGAAAACTTAAATAAGGGACCAGGAAAATGAATAACTATAAGAAAGTGAAAATCAAAATCAACAAAAAACTATGAACCAGAGACACTTTTTGGGGGGTGGGGGCCGGGAGGGGAGGGATTGGGGTCAGAATGGGGCATGTGCAGTTGTATGGGGGAATATAAAAATAAAATTTATTATTTAAAAAAAATAAAATAAAATGTGATTAACCACAAAAAAAAAAAAAAAAAAAGAAGCTCTTTCCTAGTTTCTGCCATGTTTTAAATCATGCCCAGTGTAGAAAAGATAGCTTGACATATTTTGCTGGGTAGTTAAAAGAGCACAACTGTCTTCTCCGTGTATTTGCATTGTAACCAATTATCAAGGCCTTTTCTTTGTGCTGAAATTAAAATCCAAAGACATACAGTTCTGGCTAGGTTTTCCCTTTGGCTTCTCCAGGAATTTAATAGTGTCTCCTGCTGTCTTGCTTGAAGAATCTATTTAAATTGCTTGAGAGCAGCAAGCAGAACTGCAAGGGTGGTAAAAGCAGGAGGGGAGGCAGCTGCCTGCCCAGGGAGAAGCTGGAGCCTGGTGTGCTCTCTGCTCGAGTGAGCTGGAAGGACGGGACAGCAAGAGGAGGTGAGGTCTGTCTTCTGTGGGAGATGCAGCGCCCGGAGCTCCAAAGGGAAGGCAGTAGGTAGGCAGAGACCTTTTTTTTCCAAATAAGAAAAGTACAGGTTAGAGTATAGGGGAGGGGAAGGCTAGCCCAGCATTGTCAGCTTCCCCTGAAACCTGGTAGCAATGGACAGTCTGCAGTCCCACCCAGACCTGCCGAGTCAGATGCGTGAACCAGCTCTCACGTTTGAAAGCCACCAGCTCAGCTTAGTGTTACCCGTGAGAGACTCTACACCTCACCTGGACAGAGCCATGAAAAGCCAGCTTTCTCAGAGAAATAGCGGTGTCCTGGTTACAGCAGCCTGAGAGGGGAGGAGACTTACCTCAGGTTATAGGCGAGCAGAGGAGGGCACTGGCCTGGCCTGGAGGTGTCACTGTCACCCCAGGCTCTCCCTCTGCCATATTTTATAACCTATTTGTGAAGACCCAGGTGAAAGGCGGGCCTCTCATGTACTTCTCTCTGTCAGAGATCTCATGCAGGGCCCCACCTCCACATGTGCGCTCTTTAATTTTATTTTAAAATTTATTTATGCATACAAGAGCTGGGGTGTAGGCCAGAGGTGCGGGGTGTGTGTGTGTGTGTGAGGATTCACCAGAGTCAGAGTGGGGAGCAGAAAAGACAGATCTACTGAAATACACTGCTGGGGGGAGCAGCAGGGCTAGACAGGAGAGGTCTGCCGTGCCATGTGTGTAGCTCCCTGGCCAGGCATCCAACTTGTGCTGCAGTGGCTGCCAATAGCTTCATGGTGCTGAGACTTAACCCCTGTGCCACCAGGGAGGCCCTGTTTGCTCATTCATTCATTCATTCATTCATTTATTTATACAAGCACTGGGCACAGTCAGAAGCGTGGGAGGGTGAGAGAATTCATCAGAGCCAGAGCGGGGAGCAGAGCAGGCAGAAGGACCGAAGTACACTGCTGAGGGGAGCAGCGGGCAGCAGGAGGGGTCTGCGCGCCATGTGGGACCCTCCTCCTGTGGCCAGGGAGCAGCCGGGGATCGAACCGGCGCCGCAGAGGCTACGGGCAGCTTCTCAACCCAGCGTCCAACCGCTGCGCCACCGGGGAGGCTCCTGTTTGCTCTTTTAAATGCCCCACTTGTGATATGGACCCCCTTCCAACGGACAATGACAAGGGTGGTCATCACGGGAGGTGGCTGGGTCTGAATGCTGACGCCATGTGCCTGGGGCAGGACAGCAATGAAGAATGAGGAGCAGAGAACAGGTTATAAAAATGTTTAGTCTTTGCTTTATTGAGTTACAACAAATGAGCAACCAGTTAGAAAAATTGTTTGTTTTATTCAAACTCCCTAGCATTTTATTTGTGCGGTGTACTCAAGTGGGGGTGGTGGGGTGGAGAGGAAGGTTTGCAAACACAATTCATATTGCATCATATGACACCAGATATGTCTCTTGGTTTATCTTCTGTAAAAGTTAGGTCTAACTGAAAAAAAAAAAAAAAAAAAGTGCACTCGGAATCTAAAATTGGCCCAAAACAAACACACAAACCCAAAAAAAAAAAAAAAATCAATTCATGGTGAGACTTCAAGCTGCAATCTTGTCAAATATCACACTGAGAAAAGGCGGTTAGGAACAGAAATGAAACCCAAAGCTGTTCATCTTGGTACCATTGAAACAGGAAGATCTTTTTGTTTTTATTTCACAAAAGTCCTGGTCACACCAGTAAATGTGGCAGCCCTTTCGCTGGCATCTCAAAGATGTTTAGAGAGTTCAGCCTCCTGATACTGGTTCTCCCTGGCTGGCCGGGCCCAGGGTCCTGCCCAAGAGGCCCAGTTAAAAAAAAAAAAAAAGACTTCCCCCTTTCCAGGCTACAATGGGGGTCCCCCCCGCAGGCGGCTGAGGGAAGAACCGGAAGTGGATTTGATTTGGAAGATCTGTCACGTGTAAACCCTCTTCCAGTCGTGACAGATGCCCCAGCCGGAGCCCTCCCCAGGGAGAAACTGCCCACGTTTCAGACTCCTTTAAACACGAACTCTCCCTACCTCAGATCCAGTAGCTATAATGGCACTAATGCTAACACCCCCGCCCCCAAATTAATCAAAAGAAAAAAGAAAAAGGAGAAAAGAGAAAAGCACATGTGGTCAGCCCTCCCTCCGGGGAACCCTTGCAGTGGTAATGCTGGGGCAGGAAGGTGCCCTCGTAAAAAGGTAACAAAATTCCCACATGGTACAAATCGGTTCCAGTAGAGCAAGAGGTGGGGCCTGAGCAGAGGAGCAAACTATTCACAAGGACCCACTGAAAATGCAGTAGTAGGACTTTGGCACTGTGACCGATACCCGCGGTCCTCTGGGTCCCCACCCTGCAGGCACAGGCGCTAAGTGGTTCCACTGGAGGGCTCTGGCCCAGTGGCCCGTGGCGAGGGATGTTCTTTCTTCGAAGACAGAGTGCTCCCTTTATCAGCACAGCAGTTCTGAGGACGCCCCTGCGAGGACAACACAACCAGAGAGACAAGCTGTCAGGCAGGCGGCTGTCATTTCCTGGGTGGAAGGTGGGGGGAGGTGGCTTGGATTCCCGGCTCTCCTGGGGAGGACCCCACCAAAGCCAAAGCCAAGCCGAAGCCATCCTGGGGCGTGCAGGAGAGATAAACGCCCTCATGTTTGGGGCCTGCTTGAAAGAAAGGGGTGTGTTTCCTGACCATGGTCTGACATGATGGGAAGCGCCTCCAGAGTCCCTTGAAATAGGATGAGTTTCGGGGCAACTGAAGTGATGACCTGGAGTCTGTGCATCATTACCAGCCCCTCAGTCAGTTGTGAAAGGTGGTCAATCACAGTGATCCCTAACAGCCCCCAGGTCAGACACACCTACATTTGAATTTGACCTTTCTCCTGCTGGTCATGCGGCCCGCCGCCTGACTCTTCTCTCTAAGGCTTAGTTGTCACTTCTGCCAAACAGGGATGATAACAATTGTGATGGTTAAATAAGTTAAATATGCACCAGCTTTGGAAAAGCACCGCACGCAGCATGCCTGACCCTCGAGTTAGTTGTGTTTGTTAGCTGGAGCCTTTCCCGGCCATGGCAGGATGTGTGCCAGTTGTCGGAACCAGGGGAGACATTTCTAGTGTATTTTTTACTTCACGTTTGCAGCAACCCGCGGAATTGTAGCTCTTATTAGTCCCATTTTACTGGTGAGGAATCTGAGCACAGAGAGGCTAAGCAACTTGCTCAAGGTCACGCAGTAAATGGGAGAGTCAGGGTTCCAATGCAGAAAATCTCGAGTCTGTGCTCTTAGCCAATGAACAGCATTAATGAAGAGCCAGGGTGGAGGAAGGTTAACTCTTACATACTTTGAAGTAAGGAAAATAGCCCAGGACCCAGTTATGGCTTGAAGCTGGAGATGAAGGCCGTGAGAAGATGAACATAGAAATTGAGGTGACACATCTACAAACCACATCCACAACCCACCAGCAGCTAGGAGAGAAGCAGGGAACAGACTTTCTCAGCCCTCAGGAGGAGCCAGGCCTGCCAATACCAGACATCTGGTCTCCATAACCGAGGGAGAATTGTTTGAGCCACCCGGTTTGTGCTACTTCACGGCAGCACAAGGAAACAAAGCCAGGCCTCCATTATTATCTTAGTGGATGCCCAGGATCCAGAGATTGTGGGGAAGTAACCCCAGGGTAGGGCTCGGGCTGTAAAGGATGCAGCGAATGGTCCACAACTGGCTAAAGTTTGTCTTATCTCAACATTACCCATGGGCTTCTACTTGCCTCCCTACTATACAGGGCCTGGTACTGCTCAGCTACTTCCCTGGCCGAGAAAGGGGCTGAGAAGGCCTTGAGAAGTGATTTTTTTTTTTTTTTTTGTATAGGGGATCATCAGCAACAAGATAAGTCTTCTCAGCCCAGGCATCCATATTGTCAAATCATCCATATTGTCATTTTTTCCCAAACATCTGGATGTCAAATGTACATACATTTCCTAGATGCTCCTGACAATCAACAGAATATTGAAGACACCAACTTGTGAAAGAGAGGACTGTGGATAAAACCAGACTCCAGGGAGCTTGGGGTCTGAGATTACTCTAAAGTGATGTTGCACTCAGTTCATGAGGTGAAAGAAATGGAAGCTGGGGGATGAGGGGGAAGTTTCCCCAGGTCATGTGACTGCTCAAGCACTGCAACAATCGTGAACATGACACCAGTGACAGTAGCTAATATTTGTCTCACACTTATAATGAGCCAGGCCCAATGGCAAGATCCAGATCATCTCATTTACTCTTCACAGTAACCTGGAGGGCAGGTGAGAGTGAGGCTCACTCTGCAGTGAAGACTTGGAAGTTTAGGGAAATTAAATGACCCCAGGCAACCAGTCAATGGTGGAACGTGGTCCCCAGTGTCCAGAATGACTTTGTTCCTCCCACTCCTGACCAGGGCCCAGGGCTCCTCGTCCCACATGCACAGCTTTTCCTGCATGGAGCCACCAGATGACAGGAGAGGATGTGTCTGCTTCAAAGGCAGAGGGCTGGCAAACCAGGCACCAGAGAGGACCACATACACCCCTGGGTGGGCACAGCTGACCATAGCCAACCTCCAGCTCTGTTCCCCAAGAGCAGGGTTTTCCCCAGCCAACAGGGGAAAGAGGGTGCCTCCACTTGGATATCCAGCCGAACAGCTCTTCAGACTCCAGACTCAAGGTGCCTAGACAGCTACTGACCAGGCTGAGGCATGGCAGGTCAGCACAGGGCTGTGGGATTTGCTGTGCTGAGGCAGAGTTGGACAAAGCCAGGATCTAGGACCTGCTACTTGCTGGCTGTGTGCTGAGGTCAGTTATTCAACCTCCCTGTGCCTAATTCTTAACCAGCGGGCTGCTGGGAACGCTGCAGGTAAGGTGTGCAAAACATAGGGGAGCTCCCAAAATATTGCTTCAATTTTCTCTGAGAAGGGCCAGATGTAAAATTGGATCCTCAGGTGTAAACGAGCTCACCTATGTGTGTGGGTATGAACGTGTGTGACTGTATGTGAGTGTATACACATTTTCTGTTTCACAAACAAAACTGATCTTATCTCTTCTAATAACTGGCAGAAACTTACTTCTTTAGCTGCAATAATAAAATGACTCCATTTGGCCATTTTATTTTTTTTTTACCATTCTCTGTGTAATTTCTTATGGAACACGCATGATCCTCCAACTGCGTATATTAATAAAAAGAAAGTGCTGAGCAAAAAATCCTCAAAAAAAAAAAAAAAAAAAGCCAAAATACACAAACAAAAACCCACAGATTGCAAGGCCAAAAGGGAAAGGGAGACAAAGCCACTTTTTTCTTTTGCAGAGATTCCAGCTGTCTGCCCACGCGCCGGCGCTGCAGCAGCCTCAGGGACACTGGGCTTCAGCTCTGCTGTGGCCTCTGTCAGGGTGCAGGCCTGGGCTGCGGGTGCGGGCAGCACTCTCCAGGCAGACGGGGAGGATGCCAGATGCAGACGCAGGGCGGTTTCTCCATCCTGACACAGCCCCAGCTGCAGCCAGCACCTCCCCTCTGGGCAGCAAGTCCTGCGGGCAGCCACTTCCGGGGGAAGTCCTCACTGCCGCCTGCAGGTCTCCTTGCTAGAGTTCCTGAGTCGGGGCTTCCACAGCACAGCTATTAATCAGGCAGTCTTCAGATTACCTGCTTAATTGCCTGTCCTCTGAGGCCTGTGAGGACACGGATGGTGCTCACAGTGTTAGAGCCTAACGCCTCTCCCTGTCTCCCTCCCCAGTGCCCGGCCCACACAGGATACTCAAGTTCCCTAATGAATGAAAATTGGGACAAGAGCAGGATCTGCTGGAGTGGTGTCTGCTTACACAGGTTGGTGACAAAGTTCACATTTCAGGTTCCCTTTTTAGAGTATCATAATCTTGTTGACAATACGGCCTCCTGCACCCCCGCAGGCTTCCACCTGGAATCTTACCCTTGGTCAGACACAGCCCCACAGCAGAGAACCACAGCCTGATGGATCACTTGCTCCGAGAACACCAGACCTCAGCTTAGGGGAGCAACTGTGCAGGGTCCTGGGGTGCATTTCTTTGTGGTCACCATTCAAAAAGTTCTACCCGGTGGATGTCCAGCCCCACCCTGCACACTACCCAGGACAGGGGACCACTGCCTGCTGCAGCAGTGCTTTCGTCTTGAGGACAACCTGAATGTCAAAATTACCATCTAATTCTTAAGCAAAATCCGCTTCCCTATTACTTTACCCACTGGGGAAACATGAAACAATTAGGATTCTTTCCCCATGTGATAGCTTTCTGTTTCTCTTTAAGTTTCCCTGTAGGGATTTCCTTAACGCCCTTGGGGACTCAGGAGAGAATAATGCTATACTGCATGAGAAAGAAAAACAAGCATCGTGATACCAATTTATCATCTCAGTAATATGTCAGATTTTCTTTTATTGGCAGGGGACATGGTCTGATTTTAATTAGAATTGAGAAAGGAAAAATATGGTGGCACAGGGAGGGACTAATAAGCAGTTTCCCGCTGCACAGGGAAAAGTCAACATCGTCCCAATGAGTCCCCACACCAGGCTTCCGGCGGCTCTGACACATCTGGTCAAAGCTCTCTCTCTGCAGTAGTTTGGGGAAACTCTGCGGCTGGGGAAATATTGTTGAGACATATAAACCAGGTAAATCGCCCTTCAGCTGCTACAGGGAGGCTCCAAGGCAGTAGGAATCAGAGGGGTACAGGTTCTTCCTGCCTTGTTTCCATCAGTGGATGTTACCCAGTGGAATTCAACAGAATCTGAGCAAACGGAATGAGATTTGAAACACTAGGTAGACTCTGGTGTGGTTATGAGGGTGGCTTTGGGTGTGAATCCTGGCCCCATCACTTCCTAGCTCAGTGACCTTGGATGAGTTGCCTTTCTGTGCCTTATTCTCATCAGCCATAAAATGAAAATGTTTCCAGAGAGTTGTCAAATCACCACAAATGAAGAGTCTGAGCAGTGTCTGCCACAGCAGGTGCTCAGAAAAGGCTACCCCTTGTCACCGCCCCACCCTCCTTTCCTCGCTCCTCCTGCCCATGCCATTCACACCCAACAGCATGAACTTGAGCCAGTGGGGCCCAACCAGAGCACTCAACCTGGAAAGGCAGGAAGCAGGCAGCCAAGTTCCTCTCCATAAGGAGAAGAGTGTTCAACTTTAGAGCAGGTGCATGTGCTGGTGCTAATGCCAGGCCATTAGGGGCTTCCCCTAATATTATCTCATTTAGTCCTGGCAACAACAGGCAACTGTTATTGTTATGGGCTGAATTGTGTTCCTTCCTCCCCAAGTTCATTGGTTGAAGCCCTCATTGCCCATGTAACTGTATAGGAGATGAGGCCTCTAAGGAGGCAATTAAAGTTAAATGAGGCCATCAGGGTGGAGCTCTAACCCAGGAGGACTAGAGTCTTTATGAGAAGAGGATGTTCAGGGGTGTGCAGGCAGAGCAAAGGCCAGATCAGGATACAGAGA